TAGCCGAGAGGTGCCGACAGCTGTCTGACAGATATTTTGGGAGCCTGGAGCATGCCTGGGATAATAATGGGCTTGATTGGGAGGAGTGTTTGTGTGTGTGTGTGAGTGTGTGTGCGTGCAGGCATTGGAATGGTAAATGTGCAACTAGATACCACAGTGCGAACACATGCTCGCCACTGTCTCTAAAGCTTCAGTGGCGAATGATAACAGACAAGCAACAAGTAACTGTGTTGGACAATTAAAGCTCTTTGTGGTTATGCTGCAATGTTTGTATTCAGGATGCAAACTATGTTCACACTTATGACAACAAGCTGCCATTGTGGAGTCATATTTAATGAGGCGTTTTGTTGTTGGATACGTGCTGTAAATAAAAAAAATTTAAAAAAAAACACCGACACACAACATCATTAGTCATTTGATGTGGCGTAATATTACGAGAATATGCGTTTTTGTTTTTTTTCGGGGGGGGGGGGGGTCATCAATCGAAGTATGCAAAATGTTGTCAGACATCGGTGACAAACTGATCACTCTGTTTGACTGTCAGTGCATGACGTTGAAATACACAATGATATAGTGCACAAAGTAAAGCAACGGTAAATAAAATGGCAAAATTAAACTCAGCAAAACGTTACTGACCATAGATGGTATGACAAGCAATGACTTCTCCATGACTGTGGGAGTTAGAATTGTTTGTGCATGCGCAGTGAGATTTTAAGGCCACTTATTTTCAATAAATGCTGTACATTTGTCATTTTCCAGAAAAAGTCCCAATTTATGAGATAAAATCATGTTTTTGAGAATTAAAAAAAAATCACTTTACTGATATGTGTAATTCATTTTGGACTAAAAAAAAAAATTACATTATGATAATTCAGGCTTATTTTTTCAAGGTAAAACATCTAAAAAGGTTCCAGTAAGACTGATCCCCATTGGTCCGTCCGTGCGTACCACCTCTAGGACACTTATATGTGCAACAGGTAATCCCCCCCCCCCACACACACACACACACACACGAAAGTGCTGTGAAAAAGAAAGCAGTCCAGGTCCTGAAGTAGCACAGAGCCCCACACCACTAGCATATTTGTCTTTTTTATCTGCACCACG